GGCAGGCAGGCAGGCAGGCAGGCAGACAGGCAGGCAGGCAGGCAGGCAGACAGGCAGGCAGGCAGGCAGGCAGGCAGGCAGGGCAGGCAGGCAGGCAGGCAGGCAGGCAGACAGACAGACAGGCAGACAGACAGGCAGGCAGGCAGGCAGGCAGGCAGACAGGCAGACAGACAGGCAGGCAGACAGGCAGGCAGGCAGGCAGGCAGGCAGGCAGGCAGGCAGGCAGACAGACAGGCAGGCAGGCAGGCAGGCAGACAGACAGACAGGCAGGCAGACAGGCAGGCAGGCAGGCAGGCAGGCCGGCAGGCAGGCAGGCAGACAGACAGACAGGCAGGCAGACAGGCAGGCAGACAGGCAGGCAGGCAGGCAGGCAGACAGACAGACAGGCAGGCAGACAGGCAGGTAGGCAGGCAGACAGGCAGGCAGACAGACAGACAGGCAGGCAGACAGGCAGGCAGGCAGGCAGGCAGGCAGGCAGACAGACAGGCAGGCAGACAGGCAGGCAGACAGACAGGCAGGCAGGCAGGCAGGCAGGCAGGCAGGTACCTTCCTCCTGCTTTGTCAACCATTTGGGCTAGACGGTAGAGCAACGGTCTCGCTTCATGCAGGTCGGCGTTCAATCCCCGACCGTCCACAAGTGGTTGGACACCATTCCATCCCTCCGTCCCATCCCAAATCCTTATCCTAGCCCTCCTACCCTGTCAATTCCATTCCTGTCATAAAAGTACTTTTTGTAGCTATATGATGGTATGAGACAGGTAACAGGAGGACAGATAGACCCCCCAGGGCCAGAGACGGGGAGGGGGCAGCTGTAGGCAGACAGGAAGAGAGAGAGACAGACAGACAGACAGACGGGAGACAGAAATAGACAGAGGGGCTAGAGACACTCAAGGACGACCCCGCTACACTGATCGAAATGAATCAATACTCAAGTTCCAAAGGTCTTTACCGGTCAAGGAGCGGGGGGTGGGGAGCAGGGGGTGCTGGGGAGGGACAGGGGAGTATAGGGGGTGCTGGGGAGGGACAGGGGAGTATAGGGGGTGCTGGGGAGGGACAGGGGGAGTATAGGGGGTGCTGGGGAGGGTCAGGGGAGTATAGGGGGTGCTGGGGAGGGACAGGGGAGTATAGTGGGTGCTGGGGAGGGTCAGGGGGAGTATAGGGGGTGCTGGGGAGGGACAGGGGAGTATAGGGGGTGCTGGGGAGGGACAGGGGAGTATAGGGGGTGCTGGGGAGGGACAGGGGAGTATAGGGGGGTTGCTGGGGAGGGACAGGGGAGTATAGGGGGTGCTGGGGAGGGACAGGGGAGTATAGGGGGTGCTGGGGAGGGACAGGGGAGTATAGGGGGTGCTGGGGAGGGACAGGGGAGTATAGGGGGTGCTGGGGAGGGACAGGGGAGTATAGGGGGTGCTGGGAAGGGACAGGGGAGTATAGGGGGTGCTGGGGAGGGACAGGGGAGTATAGGGGGTGCTGGGGAGGGACAGGGGAGTATAGGGGGTGCTGGGGAGGGACAGGGGAGTATACGGGGTGCTGGGGAGGGACAGGGGACTAGGGGGTGCTGGGGAGGGACAGGGGAGTATAGGGGGTGCTGGGGAGGGACAGGGGAGTATAGGGGGTGCTGGGGAGGGACAGGGGAGTATAGGGGGTGCCAGGGGAGGGACAGGGGAGTATAGGGGGTGCTGGGGAGGGACAGGGGAGTATAGGGGGTGCTGGGGAGGGACAGGGGAGTATAGGGGGTGTTGGGGAGGGACAGGGGAGTATAGGGGGTGCTGGGGAGGGACAGGGGAGTATAGGGGGTGCCAGGGGAGGGACAGGCAAACAGGGGCTGAGACATGGAGGACACGGAGACTTAATATGAATATTAAAACATGACAAAACTATATGCAAATGACCTATTGGTTCTGTCAACCCGTCCCCATGCCATAGGCTTCTGTCCCTGCGTCTGTCCCTGTCACCTGTCCCTCCCACAGTCGTCAGTGACCAGGCAAGCAGTGTGAGTTACTGTCACTCAATCTTCTCTTTTCAAATATTAAAAAGTCGCAAAAATCTTCGACATTTTGGCATAATTGAGATGTAAACCGCGCCATGTTTTAGTTGTATCGGTGTGCGACAATCAGGTCTGGTCTTAAGTGTACTCAGGAAGCACTCAGCAGTGGCCAATCAGGACCCGGATTCACGAAAGCAGTTACGCAAGCACTTACGAACGTGTACATCTTTCCTCAATCTTTGACGGCTTTGGTTACATTTATTAAACAGTTTACAAGCATGAAAACTTGCCAATCAACTGTTGTTATTGTTATAAACAGCCTCCTGGTGCTTCGGAGCTCATTAACTGTTTAATAATTGCAAACAAAGCCGCCAAACATTGAGAAAAGATGTACAGGTTCGTAAGTGCTTGCGTAACTGCTTTCGTGAATCTGGCCGCTGTACATCTTTTCTCAATCTTTGGCGGCTTTGTTTACATTTATTAAACAGTTTACAAGCATGAAAACTTGCCAATCAACTGTTGTTATTGTTATAAACAGCCTCCTGGTGCTTCGGAGCTTATTAACTGTTTAATAATTGCAAACAAAGCCGCCAAAGATTGAGGAAAGATGGACAGGTTCGTAAGTGCTTGCGTAACTGCTTTGTGAATCTGGCCCCAGATCTCTGGCTACTGGGGGGCCTTGCTTTCAGACACACGGGGCCCGGTAAATATCTGAGGTGCCACAGTTCCTGTGTGTAGGGTGCGGCTTCAGCTCCTGGGGGCCGGCAGGAGGCAGGAGGGAGGAGGGAGGTGGGGGTGCTGAGAGCGGCGTGTTTGTGTTGTGAACAATGGCGACTGGAGTGCCTTTGTGCTCCGTTATTGAATTTTTGTCAGACATTACAAGGTGGGGTTGACGGCCCTCCTCCACCTCTCTGGCACAATGGTGCTGATCAGATCTCTTCCCTGGCGCGCCCTAGCCACCCCCTGGGGTCAACCCACCCCCCTGGGGGTCAACCCACCCCCTGGGGGTCAACCCCCCCTGGGGTCAAGTCACGCCCTGGGGTCAAGCCACGCCCTGGGGTCAAGCCACGCCCTGGGGTCAAGCCACGCCCTGGAGTCAAGCCACGCCCTGGGGTCAAGCCACGCCCTGGGGTCAAGTCACGCCCTGGGGTCAAGCCACGCCCTGGGGTCAAGCCACACCCTGGGGTCAAGCCACACCCTGGGGTCAAG